GGCGGCTGCTGCGCCAGTTGCCCGATGTGTTGGGCATGACCGCCGGAGAGCCGAGGCAGCCGTCCCTGACCCAGCCGATGACTCCGAAGACCGATCGCTCTGGACTAGGTGTGATGGCTGACTGGTTGATGTGGTCACTGATGATTGCGAAGTCAGAGTCAGAGTCATGTTGCAACTGACGGTCAGTCAGTCTGTCTGTCTTGGTGTCGAGCCCCACATGGGACTCATACCAGATGTTTTCTTCTTTGTGAAAGTTTCTGTCCTGTCTATTTGGGGCGCCCTCTCTGACGAGAGGTCGGGTCTGTCATTTGTCAGTCTTAGTCAGTCCATTGTCAGTATTGACATATATTTACAATTTAATTCTAGTCCTAATTACTATTTCTATGTACAATATATACAAGGCCTCTGTCAATCCAGGCTCAGTACAGCAGATTATGCCCTATTTCTAGTATAATTTGCTACCACGGCAGTGTACACACTTGAACGGTCGTATGCCTGACCGCCGCCAAGTTTAAGCCTCTTATACTTTCTATATCATGCTTCACCTTGACCAGTAATGCGAAAATTCTCATTTTCGTGATTTTGTATGAATTATGCTTGTTGCCTGCATAATTTTGTTATGTAATCATTTACGTATGGAATTTTGAATGCCATGTGCAATTCGCGGACCGGTGTGCGCCTTGAAAAATTGCCAGTGGTGCGGAGAACCTTGTTTTGCAGGCGCTGCAATTTCAGTAGATGGGTGTCTGCCGTAAACTCCCAGGCGGGACTAGCATAAGTCATTACAGATCTAATAAGAGCTTTATGGAGGGTCAGTTTAATGTTAGCGCTCAATCGCTCACATTTCAATAGGGTATATACTGAGATCGGCGACGCTAAGCAGGTCTTCCAAGTTGCAACACACAACTTCGGAGCTCCGGACAAGAGCATACTAACGCCTCCAACGTACAATCGGAACCTAAGTAAACACAAAAAATAGAGTTGTTCCTGTGCTCAGTTAAACACCTTTGCCACTAAGGTGTGTGGGGACTGAAGGTATAGCTGCATATATTACTGGCCTCGGCAGTAGATGGAAGTGTGCCATTAGCTTCACGCTCCAGTAGCTTTACAAGGAGCTGATCTCGATCTTGTCGAGAAAAAAAGATATATATCTCTGACGCAATTCGAACCCGTGTTCTTCAGTTGTCGAGCCCGTAGCCTGGCCACTACACCTCACTGTGCTACTCTGGATCCTGCATTTCAGAATTTCCTACGTTAAATCTCGCGCTCAATAATACTGAGATTTCTCATTCAGGTCTTGTCTTCTGCTGTACATGAACAGGGTATCTTTTCTTCCACATTTTGGGCTAATATCCATAGCTGCCGTATGTAGTGCTATCGTCTGCATCACCCTTAGCCGAACTTACACCCTCGCACGTTGTTGTTATCTTTCTCAGTTCCACAAGAAAATGGCGCCTAGCACTATCTATTTATCTATCTACAGACACCGAGCAGTGCGGACGTGTTTTGTGCAGCGCTCAGTGAACCGAGTGTAAACAGTGAAAGGCATAGCTCATACAGTGCTATGACTTAACTACCCTTTTTTGCATAGTGGTGAATGTATTGAAAATCTACTACTATATATGTTACAAATATATAAAAAAATAACCGTGTGCTAACATACAATAAGTGAAATACTGTGAAGCAGCAAAGCTTCCAGAACAACGATTCAACCACCGCAATGAGCGACCGGGAGGCCGAAATGGAAGATAGACGTCCCAATGGCAACAACAACAACAACAGTAGTACCTGTGCTACAACCACGGTAAGGAACATGTCGGTTGACGTGATGACTGAAAACGCGAGTACAAACGACGATGCAGATAACGGAACCACTACAACCAAGGACGTACAGTAGATAACCCGTAATACACCACAACAGACCCCCTCCCCATCTACTCCCATTAACACAACACCCAAACACAGTGAAACCCCCACCAAACCCACATCATACGTTAGCCAGTCTAACTATACCCCACACAGAAAATTCGGAGTAATTTTCGAAGCTGTAGATGTCTTCACGATTAGGGCAATAGCGGACAGTATTGGAGGCAGTAACAAAAAATACGCCTCAAGGCTGAGTGGCGGAAGAATCTGTGCGTATCTTCCCTCAGAGTCTTACGTCCACGAAATATGCGGCCATGGCGGAATAAACATTAACGACAAAGACATTCAGTGCAGGCCGTACATTATGGCATCCAAAAGAGTGGTACTCTGTAATGTTCTCCCCGACATTCCTGACGATTCACTGATACCGCTACTGCATATCTTTGGGAAACCTACGTCCCGTCTCTCACAGCTCTCCATCTCCACAGCCCATCCAGACCTAAAACATATAAAATCCTTCAGAAGAATGGTATACATGATAATACCTGACATGAAAAAAAAATCTCATCTACAATAAATGTAGATGACGAGGGGTAAATTATGTAATTTACGTCACGTGTGAAGACATCACCTTCATCAACTGTCATAAACCAGGCCACGTCGAAAAAATTGTCATACAAAAGCACAGTCAAGGTTAGGCCCCATTACCTTTGCGGACCTGGCAGCAGGAACAACACCCCCAACCCCCCACTCCACAATCCGCCAGCACAACACCGCCGGACGCCAACGCGAAGAAGCAAGCAAACACAATGGACGATACAACGATTTTCCCTGTACTTACTCCGCCACGACAGAGACTCCAACCAACGGAAAACACAAACATAACAACAAAGCCGCAGCACAAAGATCACGTTCCCCTCACTTCGAAGCCTCAGGCTCAATAAACTCCCAAGCAGACTGGCGAACGGCAACAGGATACAGAACACCACCAAGCGTCGGAGAGAATGGACGATGCAACACCAGAACCCTGCACACCCCAAACCTTCGAAACGAAGAAAACCAACCGAGGACACAAACAACAACATCCACAAAATACACATGAATCAATGGAAACAATAGAAGGGAAAGATTTCACTGATTTGGAATCGCTATTCTCTGACGAATCTGAAGACCTGCAAAAGCCACCCAGAAATACAACACCAACAACGCCAAGAGACAGAACAATGATAGCTGATCACAAAGCAATCGACACACTATGCGACAACTTAAAAGTACAAGACAAGCAACCCATATCAATTAACACATTTTCACACTTCCTCAAAGCTTGCAGAAGACAGAAAGACCCGAAAGTGATAGCCAAAGAATACACCAGCAACACTGCAGGACTTGTCAGCATGCTGGAAGAGAATATGTTTCAAACGAAAGACTACAATCTACGTAGAAAGATGAAACGCATAATTGAGAGCCTAAAATAAAAAAAAAACAGAACACAAGAAGCGACCACCGCATGTCCTAATTAAAAAAAAAACATATGTGCTTTCTACGACTCATCATTATGGTCAAGATACTCACCCTCAACGTACGAGGCATAAAGGGATTAGAAAAGCGGAACCATCTGGCCTTATATGCCAAGTGACAACGAGCAGACATCCTCCTATTACAGGAAACAAACCTCCTAGATATAGCAGACCTCCCAGCACTACACTAGTATAACATAATACAAAACCCAGAAACACATGTAAGTTCTGGAACAGCCATTGGTATATCCACCTCACTCCAATCGCATATAACGATACATTTACATCACAACCTTATTCCAGGTTATCTACAGACCTGCCACATCACCCTGCATAATACTGAATTCCAAATCCTAAACATATACATGCCGATAAACACGATTCAAGCCACAGAAATCACCAACATCCTAAAAACACATTTAGACAATATAACCACAGACAGACAGATCCTCATTGGAGGAGACTGGAACGTCACCTTAACGCCCCAAGACAGAGAAAACCACACGGAGAAACGAACGGCACTAGCCCAAATAATAAGCAGAATGATCCAAATGCACAACTTAATCGACGTATGGAGAAGATTCCATCCAGTAAGCAATCAATACACATGCCGTGGGAATCAACCATCGCACCCAAAATCCAGACTAGACAGGATATATATCTTTAAACAATGGATCCACCAAACACACTCCCCTCAAATATGCCCC